AAAACGAGAGGTCGTCAGGGCTCGAAGCACTCACACACATTCAGGCGGCGGGAGAGAGCCGTATAATTATAATTGCTGATAAATGCCTCGTACTAATAAACACTTGGCACCAGAAGAGGGCCATATAGAGGCGGAATGGGGGATGGGAAGGTTCGTCAGATCGGGATTCGGATCGGGACGTGTGACGCTAATGACACTTGGCTTCGCCGGCGCAAAAATGAAATGATTTGTGTGAGAGATTGCATGCCGCGCAGTGATTTGTGATTTGTGTGTTGAGAAATGCAGTTTTAAACTGCGAAACTGCAAAACTGGCAGCTTGATAAGCTCCGCCACTGTCATCAGCAGCATGCGGCACTTGATAGCTCTATTAATGGCACGCCACAAGCACGCCGTCTCTTTCTCTTCGATTGCAGCCATCTCTTTCGCGGATGCAGTTGAAAGACAGACCGAAATGAATGCGAAAATAATGAATAATAAAAGTCGGCAGTACATGATTTTTAATGTGTTCTTCAGAATGAATAGCATCGAGGTTAAGGCAGCGACAGAAATTAAAAAAATACTTATCTCTGATAGTCTCTCTCTGTCTCTTTCTCGATGGGGCTTGCCATCTCTCTCGCGGACTTATCACCCGATGGCCAGAGTGTTCGGCCAGCTGTGTCTAATTTATGCGACCGCCAGTTTGGCAGATCCATAACTATATTACGGCGATAAGTGTAAAGCTAGACAAATTTCAAGTCAAAAGCGACCACCCATGAAACACGATTCGCAGCGAGCGAGACGGGTATACACACGTGCGAAAGAGACGGCACGGAAGTTTGCATTTTGTTCGTCAGTCGAGTTGCGTTCAGTTGAGTTGAGTTGAGCAACCCTCTTACGACTTTTTGGTGTTGCTTGTTTGTCAACTCCCGGCGACCTTCCGCCCCATCCTCCCGGGGAAATCCGGCTAAAAAAGCTGAGAAACTCCCAGTGCTGCTGGTGTTGATGATTCCGGCAATGTGAGGGTTACCCGGGAAGATCCCGGCTGACTGCCGGGAAATTCGATGCGCATTCTATTCATTGGCGTGTCGGCCCAGAAATATGATAATGCGCACAGCCAGCGAAAAAAAGCAACAGTCAGTTCGTAAATTTTCATTGTAAAATAAGAACAAGTCCCGAGCTCTGCTGTTCTGTTCTGTCGCTTTTTAGGGGATGAAGATGTATTGCCTTTTGTGCCGTTTGACGTAATGTTACATAAGCTCTCTTTGGTCCTGTTCCCCCGACTATTTCTCCCACTCCTCATTATGAAACATCCATCGCATTTCTGTTTCAATTTTTACGAGTGCGAGTGCGAATGCGAATCAACCCGAGCGGAATCCCAAACGTGTAGCAGCTGGTCTGGCACGTTTTCCAGGATTCTAGGGGTTCCTATTCCGATTCCCATTCAGAAGAGATACACCCGAGCAGATACGGGCAATTTCTGCCATTCTCCCATTCAAAAGGTTTTTTCTTCGCCTTCGTTAATGCGTAAAATTTTAATTTCATTTTTTTGTCAATCAGTGTCTGCTTTGGGAAGTTCGTGTCAGAGTTTTGACAAAAGAGTTAAAAAGTTGTGGGAATGCAAAGAGATAGATCAGCAGATGCTGGTGAGGTGTGAATTATGATTGGGTGATATTCGAATATCAAAAGGGGGTTACATTTATGAGCGATCCATGGATAGATTGGTTACTTTAAATAAAACAAGAAGGAAAGCAATATATATTTTTAAAAAATTTATTTAATTTTTGAATCAGGTTTTTCTTCTTTTCAGTGCTTTAAAAATATCTAAAATTTGCATGAAGAATCCAAGAGAACCCAAAAGCGTATTCACTTCCTTTCCCAAACCAAGAAAGACAATACAATTAAAAGAGGGCGGGGTGAGGGAACGAGAAGTGAGGAAAATGCTTTCACATCACAAAAGACACTGGCAAGAAAACTCCCAAGGCGACTGAGTGAAATGCCTGAGAAAAACTGTCAACGCTGAGGGGCACAAAGCCGAGGAAAACACAAATGGAAATTGTCTAATTGTGCGTGGTAAGATAACAAACAGAGTTAGAGCTTCCTGTTATTGTTATTTTTCTTCTTGTTGTTGCCCTAAAACATTCGATCAATGTAAATAAGCTAGAACAACAGCGGCCGGCGATAATCGCCTTAGTCGGCAGAAAAAAAGTGCACTTCACACAAGGTCGGGCAGGATTTAAATGCCGCAGTGACAAAAACAAGCTGCCACATCAGACATCCCTCCCCTTTAGGCGAAAAAGGATGTTTTAAAACTGTAACAATTGGCAATTGTGTGGGTCTTGCGGCTTGACGAACTTCCCGAGCGGAAAGGATAACACGCACTTTCGACCCACAACCCCCATGAAAGTTAATTTACGTCACGCAGCATTTTCAATCAATGTCAGTGGCGGAGGGTTGGGAAATTCAAGGGGTTGCCCGCTTGGCGAACGTCGACCGCCCGTCGCTTCTGTTTATTTTCGCTTCGAATTTTATTTCCCTGACCCCCGGACTGATCTCGTTTTGATTTGCATTTAAGCGCGACACTTGACGACTTGCCGTGTAAATAAACAGATTGGGCCTTAAATTCGGGTATCTTTGGCTCTTTAACGAGGCATTAGCTCGTCATCGTCGAATATTTTTTAATTGAAGTCCGTCTGAAGTTGATGAGGGTTAGAGCATAATTACTAGTTCTGTCAGCCAGCGTTGCTCGTTTTTATGGGGAAATCTATCAGCCATTTCGGAACATAATTACACACCTTAAATATCTTAAAGGTCTAGGGAAAGATTTCCCCATCCCTCCCTTTCCGCCTTCCATGACCTCTCGCACAATTCCGGGAAATTTCAGGACGCGCATCCTTGTGCACCGACGAGCTCTCCTTTTCCCCCTCCCCTTCCCTTTCCCCTGCCTTCCCTTTGTGCTCTTGGCTGGGGCATGAAATTCCTGTCAAAATTGATAAAAATCACATTTTCCATTTGAATAACATTTTACGAATTCGTGCATAAAATTACGACAGAAAAATATTCCCTACCCGCTGCCTTTGCCTCTGCAATGGAATTTCTGCAGCTCCGAGAATATATTCTTTGGCAACCGCATTCCGCCCTCCGTTGCCTTGTCTACTTAAAATGTGGAAAATATCTATTTGCTACGCCCGAAATACGCGACGCAAATTTCCCACAAAAGATGGAAAGGGGGCGGGGGAGTGGCTGACTGGCTGGCCATTTTCTTATCGCTGGAAAACAAGAAGAAGCTGCGGTACGAAATTAACATGGAAATTTTGCGCGCTGCTAGAAATTATTCAACTGTAGATAATTTGCATTGAGTGCTCCGAAGTGCACAACTTGAACTATGCCGAAATTTAATTTGTCTACAAAGTCAAACGACGTGTAGATAAATCAATCAAAATGGCGCGCACACACAACCACACATAGAAAAGGCTATATATCTGTTTGTGTGTATGTATGTATGTATATAGACATCGGCGGAACTCGCACACAATCGTTAAAGTTGCTGTTCGGCGCGCTTTAAAGTTTTTCGAATTTGACGTCAACGTCAATGGATTGGCTGCGAAACGCCTCCTACTCTTCAGAGCCCTCTTCAAAAACCCCTTCCCTTTCTTCTACACAGGAAGAAATACTTGTAATTTGAGATTATCGTTAACCTATAAATTCATGCGATAAGATTTGAATGCTTCAAGCATAGAATGCCATTTAGTTGCCAGTATCTAAATTGAATTCATTAAACTTGAAATATTTTGATTTATCTAAATAGTCTCCATATTCCACTTAATATTTTTTCCAGTACATAAATTCTTCTAGCAGTGAAACTGCATTATCACCTTGGTCTCCCCACTCAATATTCGGTTTTTTTTCTTTATTTTTTTGGAGAGCATTCGACGAGTGGCCCAGAGTGTCTTTTTCGAGTGCTGTTTTGGCCAGGGGTTTTGTTTTTTCGCTGCCGCCAAACAAACAAAGGGGAAAACAACGCACTTGCGCTCTCCGAGGAAATAAAAACAAAAAGGGGGAAAAAAACAAAATATTATTTTTGCCTATCACCATAAATAATTCACCTGACTGCCTCCCTCCGACGGCACGAGATCTTCAAAAAGAAGCGCCAAGTGCAAAGTCAGTCGCACTCGAAAAAATATTGAAAAAGCAACAGCGAGAGCGGGGAAAATACTAAAAAATACACATAAAACTCTTTTGCAGCTTGAAGTGGAGTTTGGAGTGGCGAGTCTAGAGCTCCAACCGGCGGGCTCCAAGTTCCAAGTTCCGAACTCCAAGACAGGCAGTCTAGGGCCTCAAAAGCCGCCAACTGAGGGCAGTCCCTAGAAAAATGTGGTTGTTGCTGTTGCTCCGGGTTGTTGTTGTAGACCCTAGTTGTTGTTACTCTTTTGTCAAGTTGTTGTACATACGATTACGCGGCGATCTTGGTCGAAAAGCTTTGGCGGCACTTGAAACTGAGGCAAACAACATAATCAAAAGAGAGAGACAGCCGCCTCGAGAGGTGTGAAGTGTGTAACACATTCGATAGGGATTAAGACGATCGAAACTGGCTAAAATCAGCTACGGCTTTAACTTCGTTTTGCTGGATAAAGTGAGCTTGATTTGAAGATTTATTAAAATAGTGGAGTAAATCGAATGAAATGGGTTTCCAAAGTGTGTCTAACTCAAGATGGTACGGGTTGCGCGTGCCTTGCACTCTTAAGTTGTCTTTCAAAAGTTATTATTTTGTTATGGCAAACTAAACATTTTTATTACTAACGTATCGTTTAATTTAAGATTGGCAAGTTGCAACTAAATTTGGTTCCACATAATTCGTATTCCTCTTAATTGAGTTATCTGATAATAAAGGTAATCTATAATAAGTATTTGATTTCATCACATTTGCAAACCACATAAAAATCTTCAAAAATTCTGGTACATCCTTGATTTTTTTCATTCTTTCTTAATCCCAAAAGTTTTTAGAATATTTTTAAAGGACTTACCAGGGTCTGATGTATCTAGGGCAGGTGGCTGCTGAGACAGTGGACCGGGAGTACTACCAGCGCCCGGCGATCGGGCGTCGTCGTTCATTGCGCCGCCGTAGGAAAGCGAAGAGCTCGGCGGCCGCTGCAAATAATAAATTAGAAAAAATATATAAGTAAATAAATAAATTCACAACAAAATAGTGGGAGAGCTAAGGGGAAGAGGAGAGTGTGGGGAGCATGCTTTGGCTGATTGTTAGAATTGATTACAAATTGGTTATAAATGTCGCTTTAAATTGACACGCCTGGCCATTAAATGAGCCAGACGATATGGCCATGGCCAATGCCAAAGGCAGACACTGTCGGCCCGTCTTGGCCGGATTCTTCCGCCTCCTGGCCCGGCTATAACTCCCCCGTATTCCCCGCCCCCCGCGGACTGTCTGCACGACTGTCAAGTTGTCAAAAGTGCCATGGCCTGGCCATATTGTGGACAAACAAATGTTCGAGATTGTCGTGGCCTAGGCCTAGAGCAAAATACAAAGCCAAAACGACAAGCGACGACCAGGCGACATCGTGTGCAAAAATAAATATAGCCGGAGTTATATATATATATATATAAGTTATCAAATTAATATGCAGCGACTGGCTCTGGCGATCTGGCCGTCTTCTAACTAGGAGTAGAATCAACTCGTCTCCATCTCCATCATCATCAACATCGAACATCATCGTCATCGTCATCGTCATCGGCCATGGACAACAAGCCAATATGCCGGCGACATCGATGGCATACTAAACGCGGCTAAAACAAAACCAGAAACGGGAAAGAACTTATGCAGAAACCAAAAATGTCAACGTACCGGGCTCTTTAGCTTTTTAGCTGCGATCTGCGATCGAAATCGATCGAGGAGCAATTTAAATTCTGCTAATAACAAATATACAAAACGCCTCGCATTAATTTCATGCACGTGCAAGCTACAATTTTTAGCCATAAAATTATTATTTTCCCAAGCTCGTAAAAATTCTTGACTTTCGAATACAATGAATATATGGGATACGTTGTGCCTTTTTTGATTCATTTCGAATTCGGGGCACACGTTGCATGTGTTTTCGCTAAATATTTGTTAAATCGCATATTAATAGCGCCCTGCTATAGACAATTTGTGGCTTGTTTGCGTATAATTCCCTGCAGTTCCAAAATTGCTTTGTCGTCGAAGAAGTGTGCGAAGCCGCACCGACGACAGCGGGGGTAGCAGCCTTAGCCGCAGCGGCGCGAGTTTATAGAGACATTTTATATGGCACCGCCGTCTTCGGGATACATGTCGCTCTCGATGACTTTTTTGTCCGTTTCATCGAACAAGTCGTCGGTGGCTTATACGAATTTTGTATGGAGAAAATTCGTATAAGCCATTGTTGCTTTCGTAGCTGACGTGGAGGCGAAGTTTTCAACGATGGCTTTTGCGAGGATGTCCTTAGCGAAATCATCTATGTCAAGCCTAAAAATGTCATCCCCAAATTCATATGAAAAACAATATATATATATTTAATTCTTTTTTATTTTATTAATTTATCTTATTTTGTAATATAAGAAATAAGTACATAAATAATATGAAATTCGAAAGTTTTTGTTTACCACTTCTGTGGAGTACTTGCAGGCCATCGGCTGTTTTGCGTCCATCTATGGTACAAATATTTTTATTATTACATGTTATATATTACTTTTTTTAATCTAAAGTAAACTTACCTTTCAAACGAATTTATGGGACATATGTATGGCTGAATCCTAAAAAGATTTAAATAAGTTTGTAGTAAAAAACATAATGTTTTTGTAATATTAACGACACTTACATGATTTTTAAACATTTCCGCTGCCAGTTGCACAAGTGAAGTAATTTCACAACCAATAGTCGACGCACTACTTAAAAGAATGACGCAGTTTCATTTTTCTCCGATCGAAAGAATAGAAGACAAATTTGGAGTCGGGCCGCCGTCGGGTGCAAGCAACGATTCGTGTTATAAGAGTGAGAAAGAGAGGAACACTTAGGAATATCCCTTTTCCTTTCCTACACACTGATTGCCTAATTGCAAAAAGTCCACAGTGGACATCCAGAACTGCAGGGTTGTTATGGCCGAAATGTGATTTGTTCGACAGTTCAAAGGGGTTAATGAACCGATTAGGAATTTGAAAAATAATAGGGAAGATAATCCACAGTTTTAGTTAGATAAAGAACCTTAACCAAGTGGATTGGTTCCTGCTTTCTGCCTACTTTCCATTTCAAACACACTCGCTGCCGCAAATCTATTAATAATTAGACAACACCGTCTGCATTTTAAACACTCCCAACAATCCAACAATCCAACAATCCAAAGCAAAGCCATCCCTCCACTTTATGAGCCATAAGGTGTCTCTTGATAGTCGCATAAACAATTTCCACCATAAACGGACACGATAAAGCTGCCTGAAACCACCTGCAATTGTAGCAATTGTCGTTGTTTTTATGGCTTATAAACAAAGACAAAGCACAACAACTTTAGATTGACCGCCGGCCAAAGCGAAACTATTTAATTAGCCAGCCCAAAATCAAATAAAATGGCCATAAAAAAGAGTTGGTCAGCAGAGGCAGATACGAAAAAAAGAAGAACAAAAAACTTTCCCAACGAGCCAAGAAATTCGATAGGCTTGACGGTCTGGGCCAAGTCTTCTGGACTTGCTCGCATCTTTCACACTTGCCGCACACTTTGCCGGGGTTCTGTTTCATTTCTTTTTCCTTTTTTTCATATTATTTTGGCGGCCTTTGGGCCCTGTGAAGGTGGCTCCGGTTACTGGGAGCCGAGAGCCTGGAACACGCCCGAGTGTTGGCCAAAATGCCGTGGCGTGCTCCTTGAAGAGGACGCTCGCCCATCGATGCGTGCTTTAATTACATTTTCAATTAGCCAAGCGGCCCGCTCCGCAAATTAAGCTATCGAATTCCTTTCGCATGTCCTGTGACAATTATTAACAAATATCGGTTTTTATTCAAATGATGAGCGTCCAATGGCGAGGACTGCTTTTAATATTAATGAAAGCGAAACGAACGAGGCGGTTCACCGCCCATCTAACCCCAATTCCATTTCCATGTCACGTAAAAAGGCTCCCTCATCGTGAAAACTTTTTTCCTATCTCTCGTTTTTGGGGGGAGCGGCCCTTTGGGTGCATTAAAATGATCAAGAAACAATTTTCGTTTACCTGCCGGAGCTAAATTATTTATTTAATGCCCTCCCCGCCCGCTCGTCTTGCTAAATTTTTGATAATATCTGTGGAGTGGAGCAGAGTGGAGTGGAGCAGCGACAATTGGGCGAACGCGAGTGTGGAGATGGGCGGTTGAGACAGCAACCGCAAATTTCTAGGGCCAAGTGAGTCATAAAAAAGTTACGAGCCAAACCATCAAAGCTTACACTGAGAGTAAGACAATGGAAAGCATTTGAGATGCCTAAAAATGTAACTAAATGAGATTTAGTTCAGTTCTTGTACTCATATCTCCTTTTAATAAAATAACTACAGATTTGGAATTTCAAATGATTTTTTTGTTCAAATATTATCAGTGTGTTTAATTTATAGTTTTCTTTCTCTGCATCCCTCACAAATTACTGAAGTATAGCCGAACTTTGCTCAATTGTTTTGGGTTTCACTTCATTACGCTGGCGAGAAGTTTGACTTGCGGTCAGTCTGAGAACTTTCCAAGTGACTTGGCTAAGTCGGCTCAGCTGCGGCAGATAATTGCTGGTGGCAGGAAGAAAGGTTGAGGGGAAGGGGAACAAACTTGAACAAATATCGACGCGTGTCGTGCTGCGTTCCACCCAAGAGTCAAAACATGCAATTTCCATAGAGCCCTGTAATTTGGTAAAAATCTCTGTCACAGCTCCTTGCTGGTTAATCACTACAATCAACAGTTTTGGAAGCACTGCCCTCTCGAAAACTAAGGCAAAACAATCAAATTACGACTCGTAACTCAGTTTTCGGTGCGTGGGAAGTTTTTCCCTTCTTCCAAAATGGGCGTGGCCACCGCCCAGATTTCCCTCCCTTTTCCATCCCGGCGTAATTGCCCGACGGCATATATCCTGCATTTGACATTCGGGAGAGGGTTCCCGGGGGTAAGTCGAAGAAGCCTAGCCCGCGGCTAAACCAGAATCCCAATCTGAGTTCGAGTCTGGGATTAGGCCTGCGCTTCGGGCTCATTTCACAATTAAAAACACAAACTACAGCTTAGATGGAAAAAGGGGAAGCGTATTAGAAAAAACAACAGCAATAATCATGCAGAGAAAACAAATCAATCGGATTTATTTGTTGGTTTTTAAGAAAGTAATAGAATAGTTGCTTCAAACAACAAGTCACACTTTTATGTTCTTCAGTTAAATGTAAATATGTGAAATGAATTAATATAATTTGAGAGATTTACTTTAATATTAAAAAAAACTCTGTATTTCCTAAGAAGCTTTTTAGTACAATTTTCTCTCCTACAATTTTCCTCCTGTGTAGTCAGTTGTTCTATTTGGTTTGATTTTATTTACCGAACGCCTTTGCCAAGTGGACGTGAAACATATTTTTTCTATTTGTCGGCAAACACTCAGGAACAAATTCTCTCCCCCATTTGATGAGCATATCCTTAGAGCAAATAATTAAATCCTTTTTACACGGCCGCTGCGAACGAAAGTTTTTCCGTGCGGTTTCTGGTTTCGCTGGATTTTCGGGAGATGGGAAATGCTCGATGTGGAAAAGTGAGTGGCAGCGAGTGGAAGTTGAGCCCGAACCCCGAACCCCGACCCCGAAACCCCAATCCCAATCCCGAACCCAATCCGAATGCGAATCCTCGGAACAATCCCTCCTGGCTGTTTGTTTTGATGGATTTGCCGTTGTTCTTGGGGGGCAACAAAAGCTTTTGTTTGTCTGTTTGTGTCATGTTTGTTGTTTTGGTTTTGGTTTTGGCCTGGGCTTAGGTTTTTGGCTTTCGCCAGGCCCTCCAGCCGGAATTCTCCCGGTCTGAAGACTCTTTGGCGTTGGGTTTCTGTTAGCAGGCTGCTTAATTAACGGTATATAACCAACAACCCCCAACCCATCGAGAAGTGTGTGCGAGTGTGTGTGTGTGTGTGAGTGAGTGAGTGTGTGCCACT